GTCTTGGAGAAGCCACTGTCCCTCATGTAGAGAAAAAGTGGGTGGGGGAGCTTGATTTTGGTTCCTGTGATTTCAGGGGGCCGAAGTTAAAGGTCATGTGACTTCTAGAATGCGTTCAGGCTTGTGGGGAATTACTGCAACATGGCCAGCCCCTTCTTATCCTTTGCAGGGTGTTCTAGTGTTTCCTTAACAAGGATGGTCTGAATGTCTACTTGGGAAAAGAAAATTGGACAGGAGAGGTGGGAACTTCTTGTTCCGGAGAACAACTAGAAGCTGAAGCCCAGATCAGAGAGCTTGGCGGCCTCACCTGCAGTCACCGGCCCGCCTGCCCAGGCCAGATCTTTGGACCTCTTTGCAGGATGTTGGGTCCCCCCTGCAGCTTCCCTCAGTCGTGGGCAATCAGCGCTTCGCAGGCCCGGGGCCCTGACTCAGGCATGGGGTGAGAGGACGCCCACCAGGTTGCCCGGCCGCCTGAGGCAAGCCACGGAGCACGGCAGGCAGCCGCACACGAGGCCACGGCCACTCCCCCCCCCCAGCCACGCCTCAGAGCCACCCATACTCACTTCACAGCCGGCCCTGCCGGCACGCCGGAGGCGAACGGTTAGGTTCCAAATCTACCCGCATCCGCGGCCAAGACCAGGCAGGTCCGACGCCCGCCAAGCCGCGGAGTTGAAACGCTCCCAAAGAACGAGCTGAGGCCGAGCCTCACCCTGGAGCTAGAGGATGCGCTGGGGCTTGCTGGTCTGGCGGGCGACCCAGGAGCCCAGCGCCTCACCCCTGCCCCCCCTCCCCTTTCCTCTCCTCCGACCGGCCTCGGGCCTTCCTCCCCAGGGGCTGAGTGCCCCGCCACCGGCATAGGGAGACCTAAGAGGGCCCCTGGAACCGGGGCAGCCTTCGGTCTCAAATGAGGCTGGGCATGGAGCACAGGGTCCAGGCACCTTCCACAGACTGGGGCAGATGGCTCGGGCTGGCTCCCAGACGCTGGGAGCAGGTTGAAGGCCCTTTTTCGGGAAAGGAAGTAGCAGGACTGTTCCCAAGTCGAATGCAGAATCAGGCAGGAGACCCAGGGGCTCGGGAAGCAGGTGTCTTGAGGTGGGTCAGTGCCTGCATTTCCGTAAACAAAGAAACTGGGCAGCTTCTCCCGAGAACGAGGGGGTGGAAGGAGGCTACTAAGAGAATCGCCTACAATTTCCTTCATAAAAATGCGATCTGAGAGCATTTGATTTCCACTTTCACTCCCCCCCGCCCCCCGCCCCAACACACGCACTGTCTCCAAAGACACTCAAATTGCAGCCATATGGGGCTAAAGTAATAGGAAGCAGTTACCTTATTTACTGCAGAGGCGGCGCACTCCAACCTGATAGCCACGCTAAGGACCGCTGAGCGGTGGGATTAAGAGCAGAGGATTCTTGTTCTTTTAAACTTTGTTTTGTGTACTCGCAGGAAGTTCACGTGGGAAAAGCAATGATCTTACTTTGAAGGAGAAAGGCAGTGGTGTGGGGGAAAGTAGGGAGGTGTGGAGAATTGAGTGATCAAGGAAGGGACGTTCAATAAGAAAAGTGAGGAGTGGGGTTCCTCGTTTCCTTGGTTTCTAAGTGCCACGGGCTGACCAGTTTGAAAGGACCAGTCTGGACTCCGCAGGAGTGATGCCTCCACCACCCCCATGCCAGCACCCTCTCCTGGCATATACCGGACCCTTCGCTGCCCACCAGGAAGGTCCCTGCTCGGGGTCGCTTTGGACTGCAAACCCATTTCTCTGGCTGCCACCTCTCACTCTCCAAACTGTTGGGGAGTCGAGGTTGCCCAGGGACCTGTGTTCACACGTGCACTCTCCGCTATCTCAGGGACAGCTGGTGGGTGTGACAGGCAGGGGTGAGACACCCCCCCACTCCCCAGTCCAGGGCTGCTCTCCTCCACGGGACTGAGTTTGTCTGCTGCTGACAAGAACGAGACTTTGTCTGACTGCTCTCAGATTGTTCTATACCCCTCGCTTCCTTCTGGATCGAGTTCCATCTTGGCTATGGGCTCTGCAGGAATCCCCGACGTCTGCAAACGCAGACACCTCACAAGCGATCATTTTGTTCGAAACAAGCGTTTTCCCCACCAGGCGTCAAGACAGGCGGAAAATGCGGCGGAGAAGCAAAAAGAATGACTAAACACCCCTCCAGAGGAGGGAGCCGTGCACGGCAGCGCCAGGGTTTTCATTTCCCCACTTCAAGCTTCTGAGGCATTTAGGCAAAGGAGGAAAAGAGAGAGAGAGGGCGGGCGGGAGGAAGGGAGAAAGGAAGGAAGGGAGGGAGAGTGAAAAGGAGGAAAGAAGAGAAACACCGGGAGGGAGGAGGAGAACTAACTTTTTCAGCGTGAAACTGAAACCATCGACCTCTGCAGACTCCGGGGCTGTAAAGGCACCCAACGCAAACACACTCCCAGGGACAGGGCTCCAGAAACCCTATCTGAAGGGAAACCGCCACTCTTTGCGGGCGCAGGCAAGCTTGCGAGGGGCGGGGGGAGGGCGGGAGGCGAAGCGGGTCTGGTCCTCAGCCCACTCCGGGCAGGCGCCCTCCCTCCGGCCTCTGAGGTGGCCCTAGAGCCTCCCCGAGGAGCTCGGGCGGCTGGTGCGGGGCCGGGCAGCCCCGGAGCCGTCGCCCACGGGCAGCGGATTCCAAGAGGGGGCGGGCGGGGTGTGCAAAGCGACCCGGGCCCAGGGCGGAGGGTGGGCTTTCTCTGGGCGGGGAAACCAGACACTTATAGGCGGCTGAGACCGACTTTATTTTTACTGCCCAAACTGTTGGAAAGTATTTAAGCTTAAACAGAAACAGCTGTATCGCTGGCACCGGCCAACGAAACTATTTGTTACCGGGAATGACTTTTTATGATGAAGGACGCGGCCGTCGGCGGCCTCTCGCGGGCGGCCGGCGCGAGCCGCCCGGGCGATCTGGGCGTCGCCAGCTCGCTGTTCGTTAAGACAGAACGGGCAGAGAGATGAGACTGTTCTCCCGAGTTCCCACCTTGTAAAGTTTGGGAGCAAAGCCAAACCTTGGAACCCGCGTCTCCAGGAGCGGGGGCGGGAGGCGAGACGGAAGGTGGGCCCGGAGCCGCGCTTGTCCCGTGGGTCCAGCCCCGCGCCGCGCCCGCCGCCCGCCGCGCTCCTCGCTTTGGACAGGAGTCCGGTTTTCCGCTCTGGGCGTCCTGCTCCCTCGCGTTAGGCTCCTTGGCTCGCGTTCGCGCGCTCCCTTTTCCTCCCACCCCGTTTTTCGCCAAGGGAAACCGCCACCGGTCAAGTTTATCGCCGACGTTTGAACTAAATCTCGGGAGTGGGTGCTGTGCCTGGCAGCTGAGGTGGTTCGAGGAAAGGGTCGGGGAGGCCTGGGCTCGGCCCTGAGCGGCGGTCCGCCGCCGTCCCAGCCACGGGCCGTCGCGCGCGGAGCAGGAACGTGTGTGCGCACGCGAGGCGTCCGCGGCCCGGCCCTGGCCCCCTTTCCTGGACCCCGCCGTCTTCGCTCGTGAGCCCCCCCTCCTGCAACTCGCCCTGGACCCCGCGACGCCCCCGCCACGTCCCGCTCCGCGTTTTCTTGTCGACTGTGTGCCGCGCACGTCGGCGAGAGCCGTGGACAGGAAGTGCGTGGCTCCGGCCCCGCAGGTCACCCGGGTCCGGGGGGCGCGGAACGCACCCTTAGCAGCGCGCCCCAACCCCAGCCAAGCTCCAGGCTCTGCCTCGATCGGGGTCCACGGCCTCCCCCAGCACACCCGGGCGTGGGTCCGGGGGCGGCGGGGCCGGGCCTGGCGGGGACGAGCGGCACGGGAGGCAGCAGGGGCAGGTGGCCGCGGGCGTCGGGGACGGGTCGGGGAGCAGGAGGAAGGCGCGCGACGTCCCCTTCGGGGTCCCGGGGCGCGGGAAGGCTCGGGCAGGCGCCGCGGATCCCCACTAGGGCTGCGTTCGGCTTCCGAGCTGGGGGCGAGCGCTCGAGCCCAGCCCGGCTCGCGGGGCCCGGAGGGTGGCCGAGGGCAGGGCTGCGCGACAGGAGGAGACGCAGGCACATTGATTTGTTAGCAGGATGGGGCCGGCGGCGGCGGGGGAGGCCGTTGCTATGGAGACCGAGGGTCTGGCGTGCGGCTCCGGGGGAGGGGGCTGGGAAGGGAAGCGGGCTAGGGGCGCGTCGCCGGCTCCCCGGGTTCGGGCGCGGCCCGCGGCGCCC